GTACTTGGGTTGAAGTTTTTGCACAGCAAGGCCAACTACGTCCACCACACTCATTTTGGGGTGCCTTATTTTTTTTCCCTGATTTGTTCTAATTCTAAGTAATTTTGGAACAATTACTTAAGATTTTATTAACAAATTTGTGCCACAAAAACCACAATTTGTAAGACTCATGGTGCAGGAACAGATCTGGTACCAAAGGCAAAATAAGTGGGTACTTTGGTTGAAGTTTTTGCACAGTAAGGCCAACTACGTCCACCACACTCATTTTAGGGTGACTTATTTTTTTTCCCTGATTTGTTCTAACTCTAAGTAATTTTGGAACAATTACTTAAGAATTTATTAAAAAAAAATCGCAAACAAACCATATTTAGTAACAGTCATGGTGCAGACACATAAATTCCAAGGGCAATATAAGTGGATACTTAAGTTAAAATTTTAGCACATATATAAGTGGGTACTTAAGTCAATTAAGTACTACAAACTGAATTTGAACTGCCAAATATATTTGTCAACAATTTCTGAAATAAAAAGTGATGTGCAACCAATAGAAAAATATGAAATGTAAGAACAATTGTTCTTTCATCAATATTCCCCAACATTCTACAAAATGCCTAAATCTTGCAACACTTGATTCCTCCGCACGTTGTCAACATCCAAAATCCATTGACAAACATATTGCTCCCTAACTTGTTGTAGTTCTTCCTGGAAAGACAATAATGCACAACATATGAATCAAATGCAACATTTGTATGAAAGATCCACAACATATAAATTTTTACAACTTATAGTTGTTTAAGTGGGCATTGTGTTTCTTTCGTATTTCTCAATGTCATCCCACAAAAAAATAAGGTACCCCAAAATGAGTGTGGTGGACGTAGTTGACCTTGCTGTGCAAAAACTTCAACCCAAGTACTCACTTATTTTGCCTTTGGTACCAGATATGTTCCTGAACCATGAGTCTTACAAATTGTGGTTTTTGTGGCACGAATTTGTTAATAAAATCTTAAGTAATTGTTCCCTTAGTTGGCTGGGTGGGAGGAATCGAGACTCAGAACGCGCCCTTAGTTGGTTGGGTCGGATGGAAGACGATGTCGTCTTCGTTTCGTCGGCCAACGCTGGAGCTGCGACGATCCTGAATCGGAACTGGCTGGAGGGGTGGAAGAAAGACGACGGCGTTCAACGTTGTCCGACGGTACTCCAGCGGGCACTCCGTCGGAGCTCTCTCTCTCAAACTCTCTCTCTAGGTTCGACTCTCTCTCTCAAGCTTCTCTTCTCTCTCTACGAATGTCCCAAATTGAAAATCTGAAAAGTGAAATTTGAACTGCCAAACTTGAAACCCCTTCTGCACTCCCTTTCCACGTCATTTAAAATTTTCAATTCAATTTTTCATGTGGACTACTAGCATTTTGACACCTGTCCGTATCAAAATGTTGTCAAAATTTGTTGTTCAAATATCATTTCCCTTTTTTTTTTTTCAGAATTAGAACCAGTGTTTGACACCTCCCTCCATGCTAACGTAGGTCAATCTTAATTTTTCCCTTGCTGCCACGTTTTGGATCTCAAAATATTTCTCGGCTCTCCCTCCGAATCAATCCCCTAAAATGTAGGCAACTCTACCCTTTTCATCCCAACTTTCTGTATTTCCCCATTCTCTTCTTCTATTTCCTCCTCTGCCTCAACCTTTCTTCCCCTTCTTTCCCCATTTACCATTTCCTGACTGCCCTCCAAATTCTTGTCAAAATTCTTGGAATTTCTTATAAAATCTCATAACATTTCTTTGTGTTCTTGATGGTCCTCTTTTAGTTCTTCTAACCCCCTTTCTACTACGCTGGTTCTTCCCTTCCATTTCCTTTTCTTGGATCATCTGACAGGTCTGACCAAATGATAGGGTTTTTCATGACAAGAAACCCAGATTACCCACTGGTTTGAATCACATAGCAAATGATTCTTTATCGTTGGAAAACACTCAAGAACAACCAAGGAAGCAATTCTTTCTCCTAAGATGCAATGATCCTGTCTACTCTTATTAGAGACAAAACGTGTCACCCAAAGACACTTGCTCTTATTACAGACAAAACGTGTCTCCCAAAGACACTTATTTACCCTTGGGTACAAAAACAACTAACAACAAACCAGGCAAACTAACATCTCCCAACTGACCAACAACCTTTCTGTACCCTCTAACCGTTTATGTCCTGTTTTTTTCCCCTTTTTTTCTTTACATAGACCATTAGGACCCTATCAGTGTCGCTGAAGAATTTATAAAAATATCTATAAGTCTATTTCTAACAATTTCGAATATTATCTGGTTTTTTTACGGATATTGAAATCTTTAGCTACATCCTTATCATGTTCAATCCTTTACAGAGAATTTTGCAATTTGTTTTTGACCTTGGTTAAATAAACAAACTGATACCCCTGAATCTCTTCAACAATTAGCTAAATAAAAAGCTCTTCACCTCCAACACACATTACAAAGTTAGTTTTAGAAAAGTTCAGCATGAATAATTCCTTTATTCATATTCTAGTTAACACTTAAATTTCCAACAATTATTTAGATAAACTACAATAAGATACACATAAATAAGAGTTCAGTTCCTTATTTCATGGACAACCTGAAGGGGTCCAAGGAAGAGTTCCCATCAAGACCCTTTGCATAATAATGTGCCAAGTAATCTTTTATGGAAGTGTCTCTGTAGACAGGGGGGTTTTCTTCTGAAAGCAGTTCCTTAATTGGACCATACACCTTTGATGTGCCCTCAACTGGGTCAGATGAATTTACAAAGAAGCTTGCCACAGAAATTCTTGGACCTGTGTTCTTTGACAAGACCCGGTGATACACACTCACAAACCTGTCATTTGTAATAAGCTGCACCAGTATCAAAGAAACAAATATGACAAAAAAGTTAGAAAAATTAACATATAATTAAATACGTATTAGTCAAAGATATGATTGGATAATATATAAACTATGCAAAAGAAGACTCGACTACTTCTGCAACTTTATTGTTTAAAAAATTTATTTATCACATTAGTCTTACTAAGATAAATTATGATGAACTGAAAAAGGAAAGAATGGGTGGTTGAATAATATCATTTCTTAACAAGGCCTATAGTAGTATAGTACTGCTACTACATTACTCACATGGCACTATTGGTTCAATCGAAACCAAATTTTTGAAAATATTGTTGAATTGTGAGATTCCTTTAGTAATTTCCTTACATCCTCTTTAAGACTTTTTCTACTGCAATAACTTTAATGATCAATCACACAGTCAACATTCTTCATTCTAACTAATCAATTGATCTATTTTTCATTGATAAATGATTATTGTCACAGCAAAAAGTTTCATAGGTGCTACCCCAATTTTCTATAATATCGTATTTGACCCGTTTGGTGGTGTTAGTAAAATCACCAATATCAGAGAACCTTATGCTGAATTCTATTTTATAGTTTCCAATAGTATCTGCATATTTCCTAGAAAAAAAATATAAATAAAATGCATTCGAGTTTGAACAGTAATAATCTAGAATTGTACCTGCAGAAGATCTCCCATGTTTACAACCAGAGCTCCATGCACAGGAGGAACATCGATCCATTGATTCTGATGAAGAACTTGAAGACCACCAAGTTGATCTTGTAGAAGTAAAGTCATGAAGTTACCGTCCGTGTGTTTGGAAGTGCCCATAGTTAATTCAGGTTCAGGGCATTGTGGATAGTAGTGACCCAAGATAAAGATCCCTTCACCACAGTTCAACTTTTTAAGGTAAGAAGCATCAAGTCCCAAGGCCTCTGACAATAATTCAAAGATTGTAAAACCCAAATCCCTTATTTTCTTTGAATATTCAATCAAAATATCCCTGCCAGAGAGTAATTAACTCATCAAGGATAAATAATTCCAAATAAACTCATTGCAAAAGATTAATTAACACTGAAATGTACCAACAAGTGTGACAATTGACTAGGAAATTTTATGCCAGTAACTTACAATACAAAAGCTGCAAAACCATGATCTATAAGAGAGAATATAATTTTCATGGATTTTAGTTTTAAGAAATTGATTCTAAACCTAATTAAATTTTACAAATTGTAAAATAAAGTTCTTATTCACTTTTATACTAAAATCTGCGATGATATTTTTAATATACTTCCTATGAATCGGGACATATTCATTTGAAATGTAGGATTAATATTAATAATGATTCAATAACTTGACAGCAGATGTTATTACAAGTCCAATAAACAAAAGTATATTTTGAATGATTCTCGTATAATTATAAGAAGTAAAGTTTAAATCTAATTTAGTCTTATAAAATTAGTTTGTAAAATAAAATTTTTGCCCGCTTATTTACACAAAATCTGTCTAGATCTTTATCATACACTTCCATCCAATCATAATTTATCATACAGTTAGTTAATCAAAATCCTCATAGTTTACGAAAATGAAAATCTCACCTGCTTACAGATGGTAGTTCTTCAGGCTTAGCTGGAACAGGAGCAACAGCAAAACCTAAAGTATCTCTCCAATTAGCGGATTGACCACTGTACAAGCTAAGGTTGGAATAATACAAAACCTTTTTCTTCACATCTCTAGAATAGAACCCTTTTCTTACCTCAGCGTCTTGTTCATGAAATCTACGAATTCCTTCAATCATCTCATCCAAGACACTGATAGGAATTCCATGATTAATCACCTGGAAAAATCCCCACTCATGGCATGCCCTTCGAATTTTCTCAACCACTTCTGCATGCAGAGTTGAGTTTCTGTCTTTGAGATCTATAATGGGAACTCTCAAGTTTGAATCAGTGGCTGGGATTTCAATATCCAAGTTCACAGAATGGAACATGCGAGGGATCTCTGTAACTCCATGCTCTACAAGACCTTTAACTCCAGCTTTTGAATCATCAAACCCTTTCACTTCAGCTTTTCTATCATATGCAGAATCGACTATTTTCTCCAACTGGTTTGAGTTTTCGATCACCATATTCAGAGAGAACAACTATCAGAACAGCGTTGACTACCTCAAACACAAGTTGCAGAACTCAGGAAAGTAAGAGATTATATAACTAAATCCAAACGGCAGTCAACAAGGGAAAAAATCATATACAGTAGTTTGCACAAACTTCACCATAATCACATACATGTAAAAAGGAAGAATAAAAAAATTTAAAAGAAAAATCATCTTTTCATAGACTTTACTCACAAGTTAAAAATAATAATTTAAAGAAATTATTTAAAAATGAATATCAACTCACTTTCACTAATATATAAAACTTTTTTTAACTTTTCTGTTTAATTGTTTATTTCTTTGGTCTTTAATGTAATATAAGCCTTATAATCATTCGTGTCAAAAAAAAAATTAATTTACTTGAATTTTATAAGCATATTACTTTTTTTTTTAAATAGTATAGAGATAAATTAAGATAGACAACATAATAATATTAAGGGGAAATGTAAATAAATATAATTTTTAATTTTAACTATTTTTTTTAATTTATTAAATATTCTATTTAAAAATAAGTTATCAAATATTCAAAATATAATTGAGTAATGTATTGCAACCGAAAACTTATTTAAACAAAAATAACAATTTCTTATAGAATTTACCCTATATTAAACAAATAATAACACGAAGAAGTATCATTCTACAAGTAACAAAGTTCGGTCAAACGGACAGAATAATCGAAACAACGATGAACCAAAGTTTCTAAAAGACAGAATAAAAACGTGATTGTTCTCGTGGCATGTGTAACAAGCAAACATTATTTAATGCCAAATGTGATAATGATGATGTTTGACACACTCTTATCTTGATATGAGATATCTTTAAATAAACATTTCTTAAAAAATATAAAAAGGTAAGTTTTCTAATAAATTAAAATTAATATATACATATGTTATTCTTTAGAAACAATTTATATAATTTTTAGTTTTTAACTTACGCATAAACTCATTTTAACTCCTAAAAAAGTGTATTTATTTTATACATTCTATGTTTTATATGTAAGGATCAATAAATTTAGAGAAAGTGGAAGCCTTTGTAACTTATTGACAGCACGATTTTGGTGGTAATATGTAAGTAAAAAGTTCAAAATTTGGTTCATCTGCATGTGTTTCTTGTTTTTCCAAATTTTTGAATCCTCTTTTCTTCTACTTCTTGTTGGAACAACTTGTACCGATTTTGTGCAGCGTAAATATAAAATCAGAGTTCGATACGGTTTGTTTAAAAGCGAAGAGCTTGTTTGGTCACTTTAAAAAATTGTTCCTTTAATTTTCTCTTAAATGTTTTATCGAACAATTGATGAGTAGAAAATATAAAGAGTGTAGAGAGTAGAAAAATCACACAAATGATAGGTTTTAATCAAAAGATTCTATGTCTAGTCGTTAATCACTATGAATAATGATTAACTTTTTCAATAAACAGTTTAACAGTTACAATGAAAGTGAATAGAAAATAACAATAACAAAAACACCTTCCTTCGACAAATAAACCAGAAGAGTGCAATAAAAACCTTCCTTCAACAAACGAACCGAAAGCAACAACTCTGCCAAATTGAAGAGAACCGCTCTGACCTTTGACACACAAAGCACGAGCTTCTCCTATTCACAACACTTGACAAGAGCAGGAACTAGCACTTGAGAACTTCCTTAGATTTCACTGTATTCTCAAATTCGCAAAGTTGTCTTTTACAGTGTTTTGCAAAGAGATATATAGCCTACTAGTCTGAAACTGAAAAGACGCATTACAACTGTCAGTGATAATCGATTATCTGCAAGACTTGGAACATTTAGGATATTTAACACTTCGACCGTTCAACACCAGTTCATCTCCCTCTACCGCTCGGTTTAATTCGACACATCCTCATGTCGTTCGGTTCAACCCCTTATCACCCTCTCTCGTTCAGCACGGTTCCTCACAGCTTTCTAGTGATCGGTTTGAGCCCTAATGGCCTTCTGTCATTCGGTCCGTGTTTCAACTTGTGTTCGGGCTTCAAATGCATCCGACTCAAGTCATTATCACCTTTTGTCGTTCGTCTAGGTTCCTTACAGCTTTTCACCGTTCGTCTTGATTCTTCACTGCCTTTCATTGCTCGGTCTTGGTCATAACTTTACCGCTTGGTCCTATGTTGGTCAATAACGCTTGTGTCCTGACTGCTTGGGAACGTTCGTGTCCTTACCGCTCGGTCTTGTCAGTTGTGTTCGGTCATGAACAGTGTTCTGCCTTTAGTTGTGTTTGGCCTTCATTTGATTTTAACCGTTGACTGATAGCGATCATTCGGTCTTCGTCTACTTATCTGTCGTTCGGTCTGAGTCTTGCTCTTGTTCTTTTTCTTTGCTGATCATTATGTAGATATGCTTTTAAACTTGATGCAACAAGAGTCTTCATATTTTTCACTTTGTAGCATCATCAAAATTATTAACTTCAAAACACCAATGCTCCTCATTGGTAACAATCTCCCCATTTTTGATGATGATAAAAAAATTCCCTGTTTAAAAGCATTTTTGAATATCTGCACAAAATTTAAACTTACAAATAGGTTAGCAGTAACTGCACTAGAAGTATTTCTCCCCCTTTTTTATCATAAGCAAAAAGTAAGTATACTCCCCCTCAACGAAAGAAAGATGCAATTCAAATATTATAAAATTTGAAATTGTATAAAATGAGGCAAATACATGATGAAATACCAGAGTATAGATAAATAACAAGGTATCTAACAACCTTATATATCTCCCCCTCAAATGAGTACCAGGTAGCACAAGATCATGACATAAGATGTCAAACAAAAAATTTTCCCATGCATGTCATATTCCCCTGTTCAAATCGTTCGGCATGCCTCTGTTACCGCTCAGTGTCTCTTGTTGATACCGTTCGATTGCTTATGTTGTTGTTCGGTACTATCCTAGACCCCATCTATCCTATCCTATATCTTAACAAAATTAGTTTTGATTACAAGCCAGGATAATCGATTATATCGTGATGATAATCGATTAAATATGCTGGAAGTACGAAAAAAAAAACTGGAAAAAGTCAGAAATCTTAATTCTAAGATAGATCTATAACTCTTAACTCTTTTTTAAGATCATAGAACCTATCTTTGGGTAATGATTTTGTGAAAATATTTGCCAATTGATGCAAAGTATCATTATATTCTATTGTGTAATTCAATGCAATGCATAAATGTTTACAAGCCAGTTCAGATTAGTATTTTCTATTCCAAACCAGTTTCAATAACTTTTAGCAAATCAAATTTAGCTTTCAGCAGACTCAATTTATCCATGAAACCAGCAATCATTTTTTAACTAGTTAAGATATCAATGATTCAGCAACCAATTTATAAATTAAAATGAATGCAACAACAACTTAAGTGGATATGATCACAGCTGCTCCAGGTTTAACATGAAATCAATACAGCTAGCATAATTAGTTCAAAGCTAACTTTGACAACACACTTTATAACTTCCTAAACAACAACTATGATTCACTTATCCAGAAATATAGATGTTAAATTAAGCAACTCCACCAACCAATTTTAGATATAATGAGTCAAATAACTTCCGGACACTTAATTGGTCTCATAAACAGTTAAGAAAACTTGAATAAGGCATTATGAAAAGATTTCAAGATGTTCAACAATGAAATAGTGGTAAACCAGAATTTAAAACTGGAAAATTGACTTAACCAAGGAAATTCATATTCGGCAAAATACTTTCAAAGACCATTCTGCTGTGATTTTCACATTGCCAATCAAGCTTATGTGGAACAAATCATAGCTCATATGGCATGCATATAAACAGATCTCCACAGAAAACATCTTTGAAACAGAAATGTCAATTCAATCATCAAATAACTTAATCATCTGAAAATGCCAATGGAAATCTATCAGCCAACTCATTCAAATGAATATAACAGTAATCAAATAAGGGAAGATGAAAAAGATAAGCAGACCAAAATGCAACAACACAGTTTAAACATCACTTAGCTCAATCACATGGTGCTCGAACCAAGGCTTTGGAGACCACCTGATGGATTCACTTCCTGGTCTAGAGCATCAATTCCAAAAGCATAATACCATAGAGCTCGCTTATCCTTTTAAAAACTTATCATGCAAAAACAAAGCAATAGAGTTTTTGGTCCCCACAATCTCATTTGGGTCCTTGGGGTTAGTACATGCAAGCAAACATCATTTCACAACTTTAACCCATGCAAAATTTCCATTTGGAACTCCAAAATGTTTAATGTTGCATTTGTTTGATGTATGACCATGTTCATGTAATAAAAACAACAGACATCATGCACCTTATTTTTCATAAAAGTCCCTTTTTCAACCCAAACTCTACGAGTTCTCTTTATACTTTTTATGATGATGCATGTTTTTACTTCTAACATTGCTCTTTCTAAAACTATTTTGAACATGTAAGACAAACCTGGTTGCTTTAGAGAGTAAATTTTCAAGTATATCAATGTCAAACATGTGACTTTTACAAGATAAACACTCAATAAGTTTTTCATTTTCATTAGATTCAACCAATTTAGTTTCAAGATTACTAACTTTATTTCTTAATACTACTTCTTCATCTAATGTTTTCTCATATTTAATTTGCAAATCCTTAAACTCATTTTTCAAATTTTTATGAGCAACATCTAGTTTCTCATATTCATTTAACAATTCAAGAAAGACCTTTTGTAAATCAAAATCATCACTTGACTCAAAACTAGAATCACTTACTTGACTTCCTGCATCATCAGAGTCAGCCATTAAACAAAAGTTTGCATCCTCATCAGACTCACTTGAGCTTGAAGTACTAGAAGCATTTTCTTCCCAAGCAATGTAAGCCTTCTTCTTCTTGGGAAATTTCCTTTCCTTATTTTCTTCACTTCTCTTATTCTTAGGACAGTCAGTCTTCACGTGTCCTCTTTCTCCACGTCCATAACACTTGATGCTTGATGGAGATTCTTGAGTTTCCTCTCTTTCTCCATGATGTTTATCCTTACCTTTTGCTCTCATGAATTTGAAACATTTCTTT